TCGAATCAAGACCAAGGCTTGACATGACGCTCCTGCTGCAGTGTAGGGGTGCACCAGCGCCCAGTTAAGATTCAGATGCAGTCTCCCACGACGTATGAGCAAGGCGTTCGACGCGCTGGACGGCAGGAGAACGAAGGAAGGAGGAGGGATGAGACGGGGGAAGGAGGAGGAAGAGGAGGGAGAAGAGGAGGACGAGGAAGGAGGAGGGGGAGGGGAGAGGGAGAGAGGAGGGATGATTTCGTCACCCAGCTCATAGTGTGGCCTGCATCGAGAAGTCAAGAGCGACGTAGCTCACTCCTCTAAGCCCTGAGCGATACGCACGCCCAAGGTATTTGAACATCGAGAACCTGCACTCACTCCTCGAAGACGGCAGAATATACCTTCAGGACCTTGTCGCCAGAGTCCATGCTCTCGAGCACGTCCTTCCTGAGTCTGTGGCGCAGACATAAGGTAATGACCTTCTTGATATCGTCGGCGGTAACCTCGGTCCTTCCATCGAAGGCACAGAATGCCTTCGAGGCGCGATTTGTGACGATGTCACCCCGGAGGCCGTCCACGTTCAGCTCGCTGCAGACCTCAGAGATTTTTCGCGCCAGGTCGGGGGAGAGCGTCACCTCCTTGAGGCGCTCCTGCGCGGCGATCACCTGGTCGGCGAACTCCTTGTTGTCGGCGCTGTACTCCGATCGGAAGCCCTTCGGGTCGGAGGCGAACTTCTGGCATCCCTCGACAATCTGCACGCGCAGCTCGGGATCCCTCTCCGTGCGGATCAGGGCGTGCATGCCGAAGCGGTCGAGCAACTGCGGTCGGAGCTCGCCCTCCTCTGGGTTGCCGCTTCCCACGAGGATGAACTTCGCCGGGTGGCGCACGCTGATGCCCTCACGCTCGACGGTGTTCCAACCTCCTGCAGCACTGTCCAGCAGCACATCAACGAGGTGGTCGTCCAGGAGGTTCACCTTGTGGATGCCATGACAATGGACACTCGATCCGTTCGATCATCGAATGAAACACGTCTTTAAACATATCTTCTACATGATTAAACCATGTTCGAAATAAGCGTGTTATATGTTGTGGCACGAAAGAAAATTAGCCTGACGAAAGACCCAACCATACGTAGTTGTGAATACCGCAATTGTGGATATATTCTTCGGTGGCGCCCCCGGGCCACGAAACGAGTGAGGGGTATGCCGAAATGGAGGGGTGGAACCGCATGCGGGCGCAGCCACTGGGGCGCTCGGTGGAGCTCCCTATGGAGCCACGAAACGTGTGAGGGGTGTGCCAGAATGGGGGGTGGAACCGCATGCGGGCGCAGCCACTGGGGCCAGAATTGGGTGGAGCTCCCTATGGGGCCACGAAACGTGTGAGGGGTGTGCCAGAATGGGGGGTGGAACCGCATGCGGGCGCAGCCACTGGGGCCTTCGGTGGAGCTCCCTATGGGGCCACGAAACGTGTGAGGGGTGTGCCAGAATGGGGGGTGGAACCGCATGCGGGCGCAGCCACTGGGGCCTTCGGTGGAGCTCCCTATGGGGCCACGAAACGTGTGAGGGGTGTGCCAGAATGGGGGTGGAACCGCATGCGGGCGCAGCCACTGGGGCCTTCGGTGGAGCTCCCTATGGGGCCACGAAACGTGTGAGGGGTGTGCCAGAATGGGGGGTGGAACCGCATGCGGGCGCAGCCACTGGGGCCTTCGGTGGAGCTCCCTATGGGGCCACGAAACGTGTGAGGGGTGTGCCAGAATGGGGGGTGGAACCGCATGCGGGCGCAGCCACTGGGGCCTTCGGTGGAGCTCCCTATGGGGCCACGAAACGTGTGAGGGGTGTGCCAGAATGGGGGGTGGAACCGCATGCGGGCGCAGCCACTGGGGCCTTCGGTGGAGCTCCCTATGGGGCCACGAAACGTGTGAGGGGTGTGCCAGAATGGGGGTGGAACCGCATGCGGGCGCAGCCACTGGGGCCTTCGGTGGAGCTCCCTATGGGGCCACGAAACGTGTGAGGGGTGTGCCAGAATGGGGGGTGGAACCGCATGCGGGCGCAGCCACTGGGGCCTTCGGTGGAGCTCCCTATGGGGCCACGAAACGTGTGAGGGGTGTGCCAGAATGGGGGTGGAACCGCATGCGGGCGCAGCCACTGGGGCCTTCGGTGGAGCTCCCTATGGGGCCACGAAACGTGTGAGGGGTGTGCCAGAATGGGGGGTGGAACCGCATGCGGGCGCAGCCACTGGGGCCTTCGGTGGAGCTCCCTATGGGGCCACGAAACGTGTGAGGGGTGTGCCAGAATGGGGGGTGGAACCGCATGCGGGCGCAGCCACTGGGGCCTTCGGTGGAGCTCCCTATGGGGCCACGAAACGTGTGAGGGGTGTGCCAGAATGGGGGGTGGAACCGCATGCGGGCGCAGCCACTGGGGCCTTCGGTGGAGCTCCCTATGGGGCCACGAAACGTGTGAGGGGTGTGCCAGAATGGGGGGTGGAACCGCATGCGGGCGCAGCCACTGGGGCCTTCGGTGGAGCTCCCTATGGGGCCACGAAACGTGTGAGGGGTGTGCCAGAATGGGGGGTGGAACCGCATGCGGGCGCAGCCACTGGGGCCTTCGGTGGAGCTCCCTATGGGGCCACGAAACGTGTGAGGGGTGTGCCAGAATGGGTGTGGGAGGGGGAGGAGGGGGGAGGAAGAGGAGGAGGAGGAGGAAGGAGGAGGAAGGAGGAAGGAGGAAGGAGGAACGCGGGGACCGTCTCTTCAAAACGAGGACCCAACAACACAGGTTGGTTGGGAAAAACAGACATGTGTTTAGACGTCTGGTAATGATTTGGCAATATGCCTCATCTCTATTGATCGTCTTCCTCAAGGTTCACCTCGTCCACGTACAGAATGCCACGGTTCGCCTTGGCAAGCAGTCCTGGCTCGAAGGCCTTCTTGCCCTGCGTCAGGGCCTTCTCGATGTCGATGGTGCCGCACACGCGATCCTCTGTGGCTCCGAGAGGCAGGTCGATCATCGGCACCTTCATCGTGGAGATCGGAAGGTCCTCGCCCTTCCCCTTGCGACTGCGGACGTCGTCGCTCATAACGTCGTACTCGGTCGGCGAGGAGTTGTAGGGGTCGCCCGACACGCACGGGATCTCCGGAAGGAGGTCCACGAGGGCGCGGATCGTGGTCGTCTTGCCGGTGCCACGGTCACCCAGGATCATGACGCCGCCGATCTTCGGGTCGATCACATTCAAGAGCAGGGCCAGCTTCATCTCGGCCTGTCCCACGATGGCCGCGAACGGGAAGACGGGCCTCGCATCCTCCTCGGTCTTCGCTGGCGCCTCGGCCACGGCCGCCGCGCGGAGGACTGCCTTCTGCGAGCGCGCCCTGCCAGCCCTCCTGTCGGTGGCTCCAAAGGCTGTGGCTTGCATAGGGTGCGGCTTGCAACCTGCACCCTGGGGGGCGGGCGAGGATCTCGACGGAGTCCTCTGCCGCGCCACGAGGAGGCCTGACGAGGGCAGCGCGGTGCCCCCCGAGCCCCAACGACGCAGATCTCAAGCCGCACCTCGGCGTGACCACACCCTTTGCAATCGCCGATCCTGACCCTGCGAGCCTGCAGCCTCAGGCCTGCCACGGCGGCGCCGCCCGCGGCCGCCGCCCAGGCCGGCCAGGCGGCTGCCCAGGGCGCGGCGGGCGCCGCGACGCGGCTGCCTCGCAGGGAGGCGGTGCCGGACGAGGGCTCCGCGCTCACGGCCCGGAGCTGCCCGGTCGCAGGTGCGGCGAAGGCCAAAACTGGGGAGGGCCCGGCGAGGTCCATCCCCGGCGCCACGGTCTGCAGGCGGGGTGCTCGGGAAGGGAGCTGGCGTTGAAAAATCGTCGAGCCGCACGGCTGCAACCTTGAGCCAAAACGGCTGCGGAGGAAGGGGCGGAGGGAGGAGGAGGAGGAGGAGGAGGACCAGTGGAAAGCTGGATGCATCAGCGATGCTGCAATCCCACCAGCCCTCTGGGCGCAGATGGTCTAAGGAGTTCTCTCTGTCCTATTCCGAAACCCTTTTGCCTTCGGGGAGTGGTACCCTCCCCCTCCCCTCCCTGAGGTTAAATTGGAGGGGCCCCGAGGGGTTAGAGCGCCCAAGATGGCACAAGACAGCTTCAAGAGGGCCTCCGATGCTACAAGATGGCCTCCAAGATGTCACGAACTTACCAAAGATGGTTCAAGATAGCTTCCGACATACACTCAGGAGGCCTGGCGAGACCCACAAAACAGTTCCAAGTGCTCTCGGAGCGTCCCCCCCGACCCCCCTAAGAGGCCAAAATCCCTCAAAAGCCTGAGGATCAATGGTTTGTGCCTTCTCGCGCGTTTCGCCTCCGATTCGCCAAGATGGCCCCACTATGGCCCAAGACAGCCCGAAGAGGGGCCCAAGAGGCCCGCAAGACGGCCCCGAGAGTGCCAAGAAGGGCCCAACAGCGCCCCCTGAGGGCACTAAAAGGCGATGTTGAAGGCCCCAAGGGGGGGAGGGAAATCAAGAAACCCCCCTTCTTTTGATCGACGCCCTACAAGATGGCCCCAAGAGGCCTAACAGGGCCCCCAAGAGGGCCCCAAGAGAGTCCAAGAGGGTCCCGAGAAGGCCCCAAGACACCTTAACAGAGCCCTATGAGGACCTCAGGGCCTTCCAATAGAGCTCCAAAAGGGCTCCAAGAGGACCCAAAGCAAACTCCAAGAGGACCCCAAGAATGCCCAAAAAAGACCCCATGGTGGCACAAAGAGCTATTGTCCTCGTTGTCTTCCTCCTCCTCCTCCACCTCCTCCTCCTCCTCTTCCTCCTCCTCCTCCTCCTCCTCCTCCTCCTCCTCCGCCTCCTCCTCCTCCTCCTCCTCCTCCTCCTCCTCCTCCTCCTCCTATTCGTCTTCCTCATCCTCGTCCTCCTCCTCCTCGTCGTTATCCTCGTCCTCGTACTCGTCGTCGTCATCTTCCTCGTCGTCCTCCTCCTCCTCCTCGTTGTCCTCGTCCCCGTCCTCGTTCTTGCCCTGGTCGTCGTCCTCCTCCCCCCTCCTCCTCCTCGTCAGCCTCTTTTTCGTTCTCTGAATCGGTGTACCTAAAGGGTCCCGAAAGGTCCCCGAGAGGTTATCAAAAAGGTCCCAGTACTCGTCTTCCTCCTCATCCTCCTCCTCCTCCTCCTCCTCCTCCTCTTCCTCCTCCTCCTCCTCCTCCTCCTCCTCCTCCTCCTCCTCCTCCTCCCCTCCTCCTCCTCCTCCTCCTCCTCCTCCTCCTCCTCCTCCCTCCTCCTCCTCCTCCTCCTCCCTCCTCCTCCTCCTCCTCCTCCTCCTCCTCCCCTCCCTCCTCTCCTCCTCCTCCTCCTCCTCCTCCTCCTCCTCCTCCTCCTCCTCCTCCTCCTCTCTCCTCCTCCTCCTCCTCCTCCTCCTCCTCCTCCTCCTCCTCCTCCCTCCTCCTCCTCCTCCTCCTCCTCCTCCTCCTCCTCCTCTCCTCCTCCTCCTCCTCCTCCTCCTCCTCCTCCTCCTCCTCCTCCTCCTCCTCCTCCCCCTCCTCCTCCTCCTTCTGCTCCCCTCGCCCCCCCGCGGGACCCAGGTATGACCCGAAGAGGCCTTCCAGGGCCACCTCCTTGCTTCCACCGATCTCTCTGCTCATCATGGTTACCCGTTTTTTACTGTGCGTCTATTCGTCGTTTTTTCCCCGTCAGCTCTCATGAGCCAGGTTTCTGAACGGACTGGTGGGGATACTTTGAATCGCGAGCGCATCGGAAGTGCCGAACGCCGTCCGGAAGCCGTAACAAACAAGCCACGGCCTAAATTGCGCAAACGGAAGGGAGAAAGAGAGACAACGAGAGAACAGCGGAAGGAGAGACAAACTGGACGCGGGCCCCGCTGCCGCTCAGAGAAAGTGCGCCTTGGTCTGGGGAGGGTGACGCCAGCCGGTATGCATCGCCAAAATCGGCGGTGGACCAACCTCACTTTAGTAGACCTCCCCTTAGTGAAAACGGCATGGGACCGAAACTGGACCTGGACCCGCAAAAACGACGGCCGCGCCGCCCTCTCGCGAAGCGAAAACGGCCAATTCCTGCATCGACGTGTCAGGGTAGGAGGTCTGCCCACCCCCGACAAAATGGCGGGGGGGGAATTCAGGTTGAGCCACTGCAAACCACGGAGTAGGCCCAATTGAATACTTTTCCTTTTTTGATTGGTCTCCTCCAGAATGGCCCAAAGATGGTCCCCAAGGCCCCGCAGAGTGCGCCATGAAAGCTCCAAGAGCCCCAGGAGGCCCGAGCATGCCACAAAAAGAGGCCCCCAACCGGCCCCCAAGAGACGCCACATGAGCGGCTCCGCGAGCGTGCCACTGCGCACCACGGCGGCGCCGTGCCAGCAGCGCGCGGGCGGGCCGTGCGCCTCTGAGCAGCCGGCCCACGGCGCGAGCGCACGCTGCGGGGGAGCGGGCCGGGGGGCAGCACCCGCGCCACGGCGAACCCACGCGCAACCTGGCGCACTCGCCGGCCAGCTCGTAGCGTACGCGCAACGAAAGCAGGCGCCATGGATCGGCGGTGGACAAGCCTCCCTTTAGTAGACCTCCCCTTAATGAAAACGGCCTGGTACCGAAACCGACGGACCTGGACCCGCAAAAACGACGGCCGCGCCGCCCTCTCGCGAAGCGAAAACGGCCAATTCCTCAATCGACGTGTCAGGGTAGGAGGTCTATCCACCTCCGAATAGACCAACGGACATGCCGTCTCGTGGGTAGCGGGCGCACCCATCGCACCGCCAGTCGTCAACCGACTCACAGGCTGGCGCCCGACGGACCGGAGTCCGGATCGCCAGACACCGACTCAAGACTGATGTCGAGGTCCCGTTCCCCGAAGCGGGGAGATGCGGGCGGGCGCGCGGCTGGGGCCGATCCTGGCGATCGACAGCCGCGAAGCGCAACATGGAGGCGTCCAGCCGCAAGCGTGTCGGATCCCGCTCGGGAGGCGTCGGGAAAGCTACCCGCACGGCAGGGGGCGAACCGAGAGGCCGGCTGACCCCAGGCGGGCGTGGGAGGCCGCCGCACGCCGAGAGCCACGGTGGGCGGATGGGCCGTGGCGGCGAGAGGGCAGCAAGGGGCGGGCAGGCGACCAAAGATGACGGCCCGCGCCCGCCGCGCGGCAGGCTGGTGGGGATTTTTTGGTCAACGGCCTCGTGAAGCGGGTCAAAAGGCGTCCAAACTCTAGCCGGGCCACGACTAGGCAGCGGAAAAGCAAGACAGGCGCAGCGAACGGGCGGCAGCTCAGAAGGGCGAAAAGAAACGGTAGGCCCCTTCCCGGTGGCGTCCGAAAATCCCGATGGCTACCAGCGAATAGACAAAAAACTGGTTTGGATACGCGAAGCGCAAAGAATACGCCCTCCCGTCCCGAGTCCCCTCCTCGCAGGTCCCTACAAGCACTTCCTTTCACTAATCATTGGAAACGCTCCCTCGAAAGCCAGGGGTCCGGCGGCGCTGCCCTTCCGTCGTGAGCCCCGTTTTGAAATAGAACTGTCCTGTATCCTTCGAGCTAGAAGAAATCCAAAGAGGTAGGATCAAACCGATCAAGGAAATGTCTGGCGAGGGGCCTTCATTGAAACTGAACTGCCAACGATCTGCCAAACTGTCGCACCATCTCACACTTCTGGTCGCAAGGTAGTCTCAAGCGGGAGGCCCACCTTAAAAAAAGAACCGCCCTCCATCTGTGCAAGCTTGCAGAAAATTACGACTCCAGCGAAAAAGTTTGGCGAGATGTCAAGCGAGAGCCACTGTGAAAATGATGGCCTTCATCATTGCAACTGTTGAGAACTTGTAGATGGATTGTGCGCGGCAGTAACGCGAAAGCCACATTGTAAGAATATTTGTCCATCGGTCCTTGTAACTGTCGGATGCTTTAAAACCAATGTGCGCGGGGCTATGGCGAGACCCATCTCTGCCACTGCGCCCCCTGGCAAGTGGACGCGTGGTAGAATGTCAAGTGCTGTCTAGTAGGGTTTGTGCAAGTCTGCTGAGGGCATCTCCCCAGTGTGACGGTCCCTGCGTGCATCCCCCCTTCCTGAGGCTCCCTGCGCGGCCCGTATCTTCCGCAAGACTCTGCACGGCTCTTCCAAGATGGCCCAGGAAGGCCACCAAGGCCGACAAAATGGCCCAAAATTGTCTCAAGATACGGCCTTCTGGGCGGCACCCGAGCCGACTCTCCGCAGGTAGCTGGATATTGGAAACCAACCGCCATCCATCGATCAAATTGTTGGACAGTGCGCAGCGCGAGGGCGATACCCACACTTCAAAAGCCGCACAAGACTCGGGCGAAGTGGCCGGCGCCCTCAGTGGTGCGACGAGGAGGAACCACCTGCAAGGAAAACGGATGGAGCAGGGGGAGAGGGGGACCCGCAGAATTGATTTGTTGGGCGTCAGGTCTCGCCTTCGCTGTCTTGAAGCAAGAGCGCGCGCTATCACGCTGCGTGTCGGAGCACGTGCAGGAGAAACGAGGCATGGCGGAGGACGGAGACGGGGAGAGGGGACCCGCAGAATTGTGGCCTCCCTGGCATGCGACTCTCCATCGCGAAGTGAAGATACAAGGCTCCCCTCGCTTGTGTGACTCTACCGCAGGTTCGTGTCGTGACGACCCGGGTGCTGGTTTCTGACACCGCGTGGATCGCTCAGCCGGGAACGACCAGCGGCTTGTCGACCGCCAGGTCGTTCCATGTCTCGTCGGCGAGCCCAGGGGGGGAAGCGAGAGGGGGTGGGCTTTCTCACAGGGCGGCGGGGCTTCTCGGAAGCACTCGCCGCCTTCTGAGAAGGCTTGTGAAGCCACAGACGGCCACTCAGGAGGCGCCAGGGCTTCTGCGAAGTCCCGCCGCCCTCCGCGAAAGCCTGCCCCCCCCCCCCCCCCCCCGGGGCCCCCCCGCCGAGTCTTGGTCGACTCTGTGCCACTGGCGGCGCTCAGCTCAAGTCGGGCCTGTCCCCCTACAGGGGGATTTTCGACGAAAAATAAAACTACTCAAAAAATACTCCAAAATGGTCAAAGAATACTCACAAAAATAGTCCCCTGATTATTCTTTGACTATTTTTGAATATCCCCCCTGTAGAGGGACAGGCCCGACTTAACGCTCAGCCTGGCACGCCCGCGCCGGGGCCGCTGCCGCGTCAGCAGGCGCAGACCCGCCGCACCGCGCCCGCGCCCGAGGGCCCGCGCCACGGAGCCTCCTGCGCCCGGCGCCGCACGGAGGGGCAGCTCGCCTGCAGCCCCCACACGCAGGGAGCCCTGAGGTCGGGGGCGCGCAAACACGGATTAGCGATCCATTGGATTTGGCGCGCGGTCGCCGAATCCATGAATCGGGGGGGGGGCCCTCCCAAAAATGCGGCTGGTGCCGCCTCGTTCGGCGGCGGAAATCCGCGGTTTCCCATAGAAACGGGAACCGTCGCTGATCCACGCCCCCATTGATGCATGTTTGCGATCGCCTGCTGAGGCTGGCCTCCGACACGTTCTCTCGCGAAGGGAAGGCCAGCGTGAGGGCGTCGTCGCCACGGCTGGACTTGCCTCGAGACACTGGTCAGGACGCGCTCCAGGGCAGGTCTGGGGCTCCGACTCGAACGGGTGACAGCTGAGAGGGAGGGCAGACGGAGGCGGAGGAGCAGCAGCCGCGGCTGGAAGACGAGGCGGAGGAGAGAGGTTGGCGAAGGGCTCCGCCCTCGGAAGCCACTCGCTGGGCGGTTCCACTGCGAAGGGACCGCGCAGCTGACCTCCCACAATTGGTTCTTGTAAGGAGAAGACCACCGCGAGGGCGGCCTCCGCTCTCGGTCACTGCAGCGGCGCTACGGCGGGGGGGCAGAAGCAGCCATGAACGAGGAAGGCCACGGTTGGCGGTGGAAAGATAGCGTTCCACATCGATCTCCGAAAGGCACGCTGTTCCTGTGAGGCGATCCCCCCGCGAGGGCCCCTTCGATGCACGCTACCTACGGTGGGGGAGTGCGTGCAATGAGCGGGCTGGCGGCGACACATCGCACGATATGTACATAGATATACATACATACATCCAAATAGACACACATACATACATGCATGCATACAACCATGCATACATACATACACGCATACAGCCATACATGCATGCGCACATGTAAACATACATACATACATACATGAATACATAAATACATACACACATACACACATATATACATGCACGCATGCATATATGTATACACACACATATGCACACATACAAACACGTGCATGCGTGCATACACACATATATATATATATACATGCATACATACATACATACATACATGCATGCATATATACATACATACATACATACATACATACATACATACATACATACATACATACATACCTACATACATGCATACATACATATATACATACATACATACGTACGTACATACATAGATACATGCATGCATGCATACATGCATACATGCATACATACATGCATACATACATACATACATATATGCATGCATACATACATGCATACATGCAGACGTGTATACATACATACATGCATGCATGCATGCATGCATGCATGCATGCATGCATGCGTACATACATACATACATGTGTACATACACATGCATACATGCATGCATACACACATACCTGTATATATATGCATACACACATGCACACATACACTCATACACATACATGCATTCATACATGTATACATACATTCATACATATATATATATATACATACATATATACATGCATACATAGATACATACATACCTACTTACATATATACATACATACATACATACATACATACATACATACATGCATGCATGCATGCATGCATGCATGCATGCATACATACATACATACATACATACATACATACATGCATCCATGCATCCGCGCATGCAAACATACATACATGCATGCATCTATATATATATATATATATGTATGTATGTGTGTATGTATGTGTGTGCGTATGTATACAACGCCAGCCGTAATTGGTCCCCTGGAGCCCACTTCCACTGTGCTCTAGTGGAGCACATCCGACGGGGCCGCGCCAGCCAGAGCGGAAGGAGCGGGCGGGTCGCGGCCGGCTCCCGCGTGCGAGCCCGGGAGCGGCTGCGGGCGGAGAGGGGAGGAAGCCAGCCGAAGAGAGCCTGCAGAGTAGAACGACCCGAAGCAGAGCGAAGGCCCAGGTCGTGCCCACTCCTCTGGGGATCTCGCCCGTGCCCACCGGGGCAAGGCGTGGAGGCCGTAGCCTCGGCAGGAAAGAACTTAGATGCAAGCTGGTGAAACATGCAGTCAACCCGTATATCATGAGGATGCGCGGTGAGGAGGCAAGGGCCTTGGAGGCCCCACGTGAGCGTTTCGCGAGCGAGGTTGGCCGGCGAAAGTCGACAAGGATGGGCCGAAGGGGCAAGGATGCAAGGGTGCCCTTGGGAAGGCTGCCCATCCTCACTCCGCGGGTTGACGGTACGCCCGCTCGAGAGACACTGGAAGGAGGAGTCAGGCAAGAAGGGCGAGGAGAGGACGAGGCTCTGCCCATCGTCGGAGCGATCCCCACCCCACTGTCGTGGCCTTGGCCCTACTGGCCCACGTGGTGTTCCTCTCGGGTTCCGCGGGACCTGCCCTCGCCTGGGGGTCAGGCTCTGGTGGGGCTGAGCTACCATGGCCTGGTGGCGATGGGGATAGGCTGGACGATACTGAGGTTCCGGAAGGAGGGAGGGAAGGCGCCAGGCCGCGCAGGCCGGCTCCGCCCTCGCGCCGCCTCGCCTGCGCCAAGGGGGGGGGGCGGCAACGGCACCAGTGGCAAGGACAGGAGGAGGAGGAGGAGGAGGAGGAGGAGGAGGGGAGCGGGAGGAGGGGGAGGAGGAGAAGGAGGAGAGGGAGAGGAGGAGGAGGAGGAGAGGAGGAGAGGAGAGGAGGAAGAGGAGAGGAGGAGGAGGAGGGAGGAGGAGGAGAAGGGGGGGAGGAGGAGGAGAGGGAGGAGGAGAAGAGGGGGGAGGAGGAGGAGGAGGAGGAGGAGAGGAAGGGGAGGAGGAGGAGAGGAGGAGGAGGAGGAGGAGGAGGAGGAGGAGGAGGAGGAGGACGAGGAGGAGCGGGAGGAGGAGGAGGAGGAGGAGGAGAAGGAGGAGGGGGAGGAGGAGGAGGAGGAGGAGAGGAGGAGGAGGAGGAGGAGGAGGAGGAGGAGGAGGGAGGAGCGGGAGGAGGAGGAGGAGGGAGGAGAGGAGGAGGAGGAGGAGGAGGAGGAGGAGGAGGAGGAGGAGGAGGAGAGGAGGAGGAGGGAGGAGGGGAGGAGGAGGAGAGGAGGAGGAGGAGGAGGAGGAGGAGGAGGGAGGAGGAGGAGGAGGAGGAGGGAGGAGGAGGAGGAGAGGAGAGGAGGAGGAGGAGGAGGAGGAGGAGGAGGAGGAGGAGGAGGAGGGGGCGGAGCGGGAGGAGGGGGAGGAGGGAAGGGAGCGTCCTCTTTCGAAAGCGCCAGCACCACCGGACCCTAGGGGTCTGCGGGATCTTGTAGTGGATGCCGCTGCCGCAGCGGTTGGGCCCGCCGCCTCGGCACGGCGAGCCGCCCGGGGGGGAGGGGGGAGCCGGGGCTGGTCCGGCGCCCACCGAAGCGATGCTCGCGGACATCAGACAGATAATGCTCATGCCGATGTTTCTGCTTCGGTTCCTGGCCGGGGAAGCCAAAAAGGTACCGATACCGCTACTCCCCGGACAGGTACCTCGGCACGGCGAGCCGCCTGGGGAGAAGGGGGAGCCGGGGCCTGTCCAGCGCCGACCGAAGAGATGCCCGCGGACATCGGACAGATATGAAAGGGCCCTGGGACACACAGATAAGTACCCAGAAATGAAAGGGTTTCCCATATTTTCCCATATTTTCTAGGTTTTTGTCTAGCCCCCCCCCACTTCCCATATGTTCCCATATTTTCTGGGGAATCGACGATTAATTGTGTCTGTGTGTTTTTTTCCCTCCTGAAATGCTCATGCCGAGAAGTCTTCTTCGGTCCCTGGCTGGGGAAGCCAGAAGGTAATTACTGATACCGCTACTCCCCGGAGCAGTCCTGCGGTGCGCTCTGACCAGAATTTCGATGCGAATCCAGCGGTGGCGACGACGGCCTCCGAGGAGGCCCAAAAAGGGGAAAACGGGCGAAAGGTAGAGGAATGCGTACCTTTTCCTCCTCTGACTGGCACTGCCACCCCTTCCCTGGTGCCTCGGTCACCTGGCCTCGCGCGCAGCGATCTGCGGCGCGCGCAGCGCGGAGCGCGACCATTCTCGCGCTCTCGAGCCGCCCCCTCTGGGGGGATCAGCGGTGGGGCCAAGACCGCGAAGCGCCACAACCTTCGCACCCCTGCGGGTGGCCTAGAATCAGGTCGGGCATGTCCTCCTACAGGCGGATTTGGGACGAAAACTGGAAACTAATCGAAAAAGTCAAAAATAGTCCATAATAGTCTAAAAAACGTCCCCAGCCTATTCTTTGACTATTCTTGGATAGTCCTCCTGTAGAGGGACATGCCCGACGTAAGTCTAGAAGTACCCTCGCCCCTGCCTCCCCCAACAATTGCCATGAGCAAGAGGGATCCTGAAAGAAACGGGTCCTGGACACCTGGGCCCTCTTCTTAGCCGGCCTCCCATACCGAGTCCTTTTGCAGCATCCCCAGGGCCCAGGAAGGCCACAATCGCGGCAAAAACTCAGGAGCATCACTTCCCTTCGGGCCCCTCTCTTGGCCCATGGGGACGTACGAACGACGCCTGCGCCTGCTGCCTCTCGACGGCCTGCGCTGTGCCTCCGCCAACGGTCCGCCAACTTGCGCCAGCGGGGAGCCGCCCGCAGGCCCCTCCACCGTCTACGGATCGGCGGAGGAGGTCGACGAGGCAAAAGCTGGAAAGAGGAAGATCGCGGATCCAAGCGTTCAAACATTGTTGGTCCGTGTTGGACCTCGAAAAGACTCCTGGAGCCTCTTGGCAACCCCAGATCCTTCTGCAGGCCTCCAGAGAGCTCCAGGGGAGGGAGAGGAAGCGAGCGCGGTTCGCTGGCGGCACGAGGGCCTCGGCATTGACGGGCCCCCTGATGTTGGCGGTTTCGCCGCATCCTTTGAAATAGTATCCTCCTCCTCCTTCTTCTCCTCCTCCTCTTCCTCCTCCGCCTCGTCGTCGTCATCATCATCATCATCATCATCATCATCATCATCATCATCATCATCATCATCATCAGCATCATCATCATCATCATCATCATCATCATCGTCATCGGCATCGTCATCGTCATCGTCATCGTCATCGTCATTATCATCATCTGCATAATCATCATCATCATCATCATCAGCAGCAGCAGCAGCAGCATTATCATCATCATCTTCCATCTCTTACGTATGGATAACTCATCCCTGTCGCCCCCACGACGTGTCGGCAGGGCGGGCTGGGCGTTTCGCCTGAGCCCCCTCTCGCAACTTGTGGCCTTGAAACGAAAAATCTGCAACAGCTACACGGATGGAAGTTCTTGTTCAACTCGGGTACTGGCCTCAGCGCCGCGTGCATTCATCAGGAAACTGTTGGGTCTACATATACATACATTCAAATGTGGAACACGGACCGTTTCCAAAATGAAGCCATAGCACCGCGCACATTCGTGTTCAAAGTATGCCACCATTTCAAATAGGAACCCCAAATCATTTTCAGCATGGGGTACTCATTTTAGCTTCTCGCCACGCAAAAGTGTTTTACAAGTTTGTTACACGGATGGAAAACAGGTCGCTTCGAAAATGCGGTTTTCGCCTTGGCACCGTGCACTTTGGTTCGCCATGCTTGCAACGGCTACAGTGATGGAAGGGGTCGTGTTCGAAATGGGGTTATCACCTCAGCGCCGCGAACGCTCGTCCTAAGAACGTCGTAGCGCCGCGCACGCTCGTTTTCAAAATAGGGTTTTCGCCCAATCGCCGCGCGCATTCATTTCAAAACGTTGCAACCGTTGCGAGGATGAGGGACGGTAGCTTCTTGTTGCAATGCGGCTTCGCGTTAGTCTCCACCCGGAAATGGAACACAAGTAACAGCTGCACGGAATGAAGGTGGATTTGTTCAACAGACTTCCCCGATGTCCACGACAACTGTAACAATTACACGAATGGAACAACCTCCGTTTTTCCTCCAAATGGAAACATCGCTGGACACAGCATGTATCTGTACATCATACTTTCCTTGTCGAATTCCCTACTACTCCGCTTAAGCATGCCACGCAAAATTCCCTTTTCAAAACGGAACTCTCGCACGAATGGCAAGCTAATCAAGTGCTGAAATGTCAGGAGCGCGCTTCTTGCAGCGAACAGAAAGGCTTGTAACGACTGGGAGAATTGCTTCCACGAGGCCCCCAGGTCGAACGGGGGCACGTATCCGTTTGACAATAGATAAACGGCCCCATCCCCCACCCGACCTGCGACAAAACACGAACAGTGCCGGCACACACCCAGACAATTGTAAGCTGGTGGCGCAGGAGGAACCTCGGGCGCAGCCGGCGGATGGAAGTGCCAATCGCAAACGAACTTAATCGAACGCGCCGTGATGAAACAGTCCACCCACGGCCATGCAGATTGGTGATAGTACTGAAAATATGGGGCCTTGCGAAACCAATGTGCAGCGGCCACGCATCCCGCGGAGCGTAGCTCGCGGCCAGGAGTTGAAGCGCGGGCACAGTCTGCACGCGAATTAGCCAGTTGAAAGAGAAGCACTGTAGAGCTGGCACACCAGCCAACAAGAGGCGGCGCGAGACAGGCACTGGCGAGACACGCGCCGCCGCCAGGCAAGCAAAGAACACGACAACACACACACACATGTATATATACACACACACATTTCGGTCGTCGCGGGCGGGCGACTCGCCACACCGTGGAACGCGCCGCGCGGGGACCGCGCAGGCGTCAACTCGCCAAAAGAGAAACAAGGAAATGTCGGGACGGCCGAGCCCTCACGGGCCACAGACCGAGTGCGGCGCGGGGAGCCATGGCAGCGCGGCGGCAGGCAGGCGGCAGCGAAGGGCGGAGGCGGCGAAGGGCGGCGACCGCACGGCGGGGCGCCGGAGCCAGGGCGGCGAGCGAGGGGCGACGAGCGAGGGCAGGCCAGCGGGAGGGGCGTCGCGTCAACATTTCGCGGGCAGGGAGCGGCCCGCAGGAGCGGACCCACGCGAGAGGAAGGCGCGGCCCAAAGCGGCAGGATTGGCGGAGGCGGGGCGGCGGCACCCAGCCTTGGCCAAGAGGCGAGGGGGGGCGGAAAAGGCCGAGAGCGGGAAAGGGCGAGGGCGGAGGCCCGACTCCCGGAGCGGAAGCGACTGGGCCGAGAGCCACTGAGCGGCGCCGAGGCGGCCGCCCTGTGGGAGCGCAGGGAAGCCGGCACCGCGACAAAGCGGACACCACCTGGGGAAGGCAGCGAGCCGCGAGTCGCCTGGCGCCAGGGCGAGGCCTGGCGCGCGCGAAAGGCAGGCAAAACGGAAGCATATCGATCACCACTGAGGGTCCACGCACACACACACACACACACACATTAAGCCAACGGCGCAGAGGAACCTCAAGCGCGGTCCACGGATGGAAGCACGAGTTGCGACCGAACTCTGTCGGACCGCACACCCAAGGATGCGTACACCATTGCCGTGCCAGAGGGATTGCGAAAACAAAGAATGAGACACAGTAAATCGCTGGGGGTGGGTGGTGTACTGACCCCAACCGCGATTACAGAGCAAGGGTGGTGTAGCGATGGGGCTGCAACCCAGAAGCGCGCAGCGGCCAGAACCCGAGGAGTGCGCAGGGCGAGCTCGACTCAAATGAACTGACGCGAGAACAATGTGGTGCAAAGTAAAGCCAAGAATCACCGACAGAAGGTGACCCAAGAAGCGTGCAAGGCCAGAACCCGAGAAACGCGATAGATTGGCTCAAAGCAACTTGAAGAGCCGGTACCAATTACAACCTGTGAAGCTGCCAGACAAGCCGATTGGTGGGTCAACGCTGAGAACTAGATTCTGGCGAGACGATAAATAGGGTTTCCCCTACGAACGGGCGACACAATATATAACACGGTTGGGTGCAAGCCCTGCAGCCGCAGGTAACACGAAAACAACGGACCCGAAGCTAAAGCAACATATATTGGTAGTGGCGGAACGCAATACACGTAAAAGTACACACATGTAAACCGAAACCAGCCAAAAACCGCCATTCCATAAAATCACTGGTGGATAGCCAGACCACCAAGAGAGGCCACTGTCAATGACACGTCCAGGCTGAGCGAAGCCAAGCTGGGTTGCAATAGAGACGCCGATCGAAATAGATCGGGAGGGTGCCGGCCGAGCAGCACGGAAAAGGCGCGATGTGCATTGCACGCACCGACGTCAAGGTCGCCACAAAATCGACCAAGGACGCCCCGTCAAGGAGGAAACACAGCGGAAGAAAGAGGAAGGAGGGACAAGGGCACAAAGGAAGCGTACCACGCCAGCAGAGACAATCAGGCAGGCACGCAGGAAGGGGGCAGCCCCCCGCGGTGGGGACGATCCGGAAGGAGAGGGAGAGGGGAGGA